TTCCTTCTGTCCCTGTGGATAAGACATCATACACCTCTCCTGGTGTGTATAGGGTTAGTTTGGGGATGAGAATGATTGGAGCACAGGTGTCCTCAATCTGTGGAGAGATGCAGGAGTATATTTTGGAAGAACAGAGAAAGAGCAGTCCCGAGGTTAGAGCAGTATCTTCCTTAATTGTGACATTTTGGCTTGATGAGTGTGGGCCTTTAGAGGTTCATGGAGTCCAACACACTGTTTTGTTAAGAAAAAGGGGAGGGGCAGGCATGGGCCCCTGTACTAGAAGTTCCTGAGAACACTGAGTAGTGGCCTGCGGAGTAACATTGTAAACTGGGAGAGGGAGGAGAAGTGAGCCCTGCAGGGGGGCACAGAGAAAGCAAGTGGAGACATTAGCATTAGAGAAGTTTCTCAGGAGATTAAGCAAAGAAGTAGGTCATCTACATATTGCAGGATGGTGGAGGGGTTAAGGTCTAGGGAAGTTAAATCGTGGGCTAGAGCTTGTCCAAAGATGTGAGGGCTATCTCTAAACCCCTGGGGCAGGACAGTCCAGGTAAGTTGGGAAGACATCCCAGTGTCAGGGTCCTCCCAGGTGAATGCAAAGAGGTTATGAGAGTTGGGGTGTAAGGGTATTGAGAAAAAAGCATCTCTAAGGTCTAATACAGAAAAGTGGGTGGTGGAAGAGGGCATGTGAGAAAGAAGAGTTTAGGGGTTGGGAATGACTGGGTGAATGGGAATAACTGCTGAATTAATAAGCCGGACATCCTGGACCAGACGGTAGGATCCATCAGGCTTGAGGACCAGAAGAATGGGAGTGTTATATGGAGAGTGAGTGGGTTTAAGGAGGTTAGCACTCATAAGCCTTTGAATTATGGGCTTAAGGCCATAGCGGTGTCTCAGTGCAGTTGGGTATTGGGATCTGCTGGGAAATAGGGAGGGGTCCTTCAAGAGAATGTGGATAGGAGTGTGATGAGAGGCTAGTCCTGGGGCTGAGGTGTCCCAGACCTTGGGGTTTACTTCAGTGGGGGGAAGAGGCAAAGATCTGGCTTGGGGAGGAGAAGGTACTGGGGAAAGGAGAAAGA